TCACAGAATCACAGACTAGTAGGGGTTGGAAGGGACCTCTGTGGGTCACCTAGTCCAAATCCCCTGCCGAAGCAGGGTCACCTACAGTAGGCTGCACAGGATCTTGTCCAGGCGGGTCTTGAATATCTCCAGAGAAGGAGACTCCACAACCTCCCTGGGCAGCCTGTTCCAGTGCTCCGTCACCCTCAGAGGGAAGAAGTTCTTCCTCATGTTCAGACGGAACTTCCTGTGCCTCAGTTTGTGCCCATTGCCCCTTGTCCTGTCGCTGGGCACCACTGAAAAGAGCTTGGCCCCATCCTCCTGACACCCACCCTTCAGATATTTGTAGGCATTTATAAGGTCCCCTCGCAGCCTTCTCTTCTTCAGGCTGAACAAGCCCAGTTCCCTCAACCTCTCCTCGTAGTGGAGATGCTCCAGTCCCCTCACCATCCTTGTAGCCCTCCGCTGGACTCTCTCCAGTAGCTCTTCATCCTTCTTGAACTGGGGAGCCCAGAACTGGACACAGTACTCCAGATGAGGCCTCACCAGGGTAGTGTAGAGGGGAAGGAGAACCTCCCTTGTCCTGCTGGCCACACTCTTCTTGATGCACCCCAGGATCCCATTGGCTTTCTTGGCAGCCAGGGCACACTGCTGGCTCATGGTTAACCTGTCGTCCACCAGGACACCCAGGTCCCTCTCTGCTCTCCAGCAGGTCCACCCCAAGCCTGTACTGGTGCATGAGGTTGTTCCTCCCCAGGTGCAGGACCCTGCACTTGCCCTTGTTGAACCTCATCAGGTTCCTCTCTGCCCAGCTTTCCAGCCTATCCAGGTCACGCTGAATGGCAGCACAGCCTTCTGGTGTATCTACCACACCTCCCCGTTTGGTGTCGTCAGCAAACTTGCTGAGGGTACATTCTAACTCTTCATCCAGGTCTTTGATGAAGAAGTTAAACAAGACTGGGCCCAGTACTGACCCCTGGGGGACACCACTTGTCACCAGCCTCCAACTAGACTCAGCGCCGCTGATGACAACCCTCTGATACTTCTTGAGCTTTAGAACTTCCCTCTTTAGAACTTAGCCATCTGTCAAGTTCATTTAAATCATCTGCAGAATTACAAATTGCTGGTGAGGTTGGGGAGAGAGGAGAGAAACAAAGCAACACGTATGTGCCAAGTAATTGCCAAAGTACCATTCCTTTAGCGACCTGACTACAAACAAGGATGATAAAATCTTTAATAACAGAGGCATCAGGTAATCTAAGTACAGACACAGACAGTCTCATAAGGTAAACATGACACAGTATTGTTTAAAATTATCAGAATTATCTACCTTTTTTGAAACCACTAAAAAACCAGTGACTTGGTATGATTTCCTTCTTAGGATGAACACTCATCACATTTATGACACGCCGACTGGCATGTTTGAAGTGTACTTATGAACAGACCTAGGAGAAATCCCAAGTGCTGACTGATAAAGGATATAATGATTTGGACAAAAGTTACAAAGTGACAATTTCTTGCCATTGTTTAACCCCCCCTGAACTGACTTATGAAGAAAATTCCAGAAATCATCCAGTACCCAAGAGCAACACAATAAAACTGATGCAACATGAAGCTGTACTTTGGGACTCAGAAAATCCAAAGTCTCCAATTATCTTAAATTTGTCACTCCACAGCTTTTTCCCAACTATAAACTACAAGCAAATGGATAAATACAAAGTAACCACACCAACATGTCATCTATTCTGAGTAGACAGAGCATCCACATAACAATTTATGAAAATCAACATGAAAGTGTTAAGAATTATTAATGTTTTAATAAATGAATATAACCAGGTCACTTGTAACTTTGTGATAATGGAATTAAAACACAACAATATCAATAAACATAGATTTTTATATATAAAAGTGTCATTTATTGTAAGGAAACTTTAAATATAATCAACAATATTGAAAATATCGTGACTGGCATTTATGGCCTTGATTGTAGTTTACTGCCATACAAGTAATTTGTAGCGTTTTCCTTAATCACATCAAGCTAGTGCAAAATATAGGTAGCTTTTAGAGATTAAGCATACAGAATGACAAGAGTGTAGATTTTGGTTACCTGATATTTCCTTCTAGTATAACAGGCTTCTCTTTTTTCCATAAATCAAAAGTACAAAGGCAAGTTATCATCTGTGCAATTATTCACACCAGGTTTCAGCTTAAAAAAAATGGCATTTGTAAATTTTGCTCAGACTGTAATTTGTTAGGAACCTGACTTATAATTTATATCATACTGTATGATATAAATTATACATATTCTCATTTTATATTATCATAATTTCATATACAGGTATGATTATATAAATTGTCAGAACATATGACTAACCATAGGATAATAATTACATCAACATACACAAATATATGGCATTAGAAAAGTCATTATCTAAGAAGGAAAGATTTTATAATTCAGGTGTTTGAAACAGGGTGCAAGCAGCCTTCCTACCATTCTTGTAGTATGATTTTGGCAGAACTACTGCCAATCGTCATTACGTGCACTAGCTTTCCGTGTACATCAACAGATAGGTCAGTAAGCAGTATTAAAATTAGACTGTGCCTGGCATTTCTAGTCATAGACAGACCCTTGTAACCAATGAGCCCTGTGCTCCTAATTAAGAAGATATTCTCTCTCCTCAGTCTCAAAAGGTATCCCATGCTGTTATGGCTAAAGAGATATTATTTTATGATGACCTACAGGTTTTTGAAAGCAGGACACATTAGCTTTAACAATGACATACTTTCCAGACTTGTGCAAAGCTTTTGAATACTAATCGTTCAAATTAAAAATATTTTTGTACTTCCTAATAAGGATTTTTCAAGGACAAGCATAGTTTAGCATGGCTTTCGACATCAGTCACTTCAGTAGTTGAATCTGGTCTTTGACAGCTAAGATCAGACTGCAAGAAGAGAGATACACAGAGATCATCTGATTTGAAATAGGTAAAAGATTCAACAGATAAAAAAGGTGAGAGGTAAAAAAAATTAACTAGGTAACAAGCATAGATATAGAAGACAAAATGCATAAATATAAAACAAGGGAGAAGGAAAACAATATAGGTTATGTATGATTAGGTAGAACATGACAACGACCTCTGCCTTTGCTTTTAAAGCATTAAGGTTAATTTGTCAGCTGTCCTCACTCTAGACTGTACAGAATACACGTAACTAATAAAAAAATGCAGTTTATTGCAAAAATATACAAGTCCTCTAAATTGCATAAGATATTACAATGTCGTGCTGAAACATGACATTAAACAAAGAGGACTTTAAAACAAATTACAAAATGTTAAAAATCAGAGTTGGGTCATGAGCGTTACACAAAACGCATTGTCATGCTTTTGCTTACGATTAGTCTTGTGATTCACTACATCTGTGATAAATGCAACATAAAATCATGACAACTGTAATAGTCAGAAAGTAATATCTACTGTATATCTTCTGTATTAATACATATAAACACTTTGTGTGCACTAATACTTTCAACATATCACATTCAAACTAACAGTCTTTCCAGAAAGTTGTAACCTTTTTGAAGAACAGAAGCTGGTTGAACAAGTTCATTGCATGTGGGTTTTTTGAAATCTACTCTTTAAGGAAATGCTGTGTTAAAGGACTTGATTTTCAAAGGTGCTGTGCTACTGCGGGTTGTCTTAATGCCAGATGGAACCATCAATGCTAAGCACCTTCAAAAATCAAGCCCACAATTATTAAAGTCCCATTTTGTTTACTAGTATTTCCACTGTAATAAGTCAAAAAAAATACCCCCAACCCACTCTTAAAAATCACAGAAAATGCTTGGCATCTATAGGAAGCGAGACATTTTCTCAGTGGACTAACCACTACTGTGCTATATTCTCGTAACAGATCTTGTTGCTCCAATGTTTAGTTCATGCACTGGGATCGGCAATGTCCATGTTTGTTCCAAACAGAGCAACTAGCTGCTCTTCATAGTTTGCAATGTTTCTTTTCAGAATTTCCATACAAGGTCCCAAAAGCCTTTCAAATGCCTGCACGTCCATAACTAAGATACAAAGAGAGAGAAGGAGAAAGAATAGAACATGCTCGTCAGTTGCAGACACTAATCGTGGTGTTGATGACATTCCAATGTAAAATTTCAAGTGATGGCAGGACAGTTACTACTGAGACGCTTAGTTTGTTTGCACAGAAGAGAGCCACTTACCACAGCAAAACCAAGATCAATCAACACATTGCTGCCTTGAAACTTCACACATAAACTTAGAATTTGCTGTGTTTCTTATTTTGAAAATATTCTCACATTAAGAATTATGTCACCCAAGAGCTGCTGAAGAAGTCTGGAGGGCCCTGTATTCCTCCACAGAATACAGTTTTAAGACCCCTGACATTTCGAAAAACCGCCATCCTTTGCTGACGTGCTGGCTGTTATTTGGGGTCTAATTTAGCATATTTCTTTGCTATTTTTACTTGCCTCCACCTACAGTGGAAATTGTAATAAATACTTCTTTCCCAGCAAACGTACGAAAGTTGGAGACAGCAATTCACGTGCAATGTCAATGCGTAGCCAACCAGAGTATTTTCTTTATATGATCACATCATGTTATCCTCTACAGTTCCAGCCAGTAGGCCAGGGAGGAAACTTCGTACTTCAACCAGCTTCCAACCTGGTGGCCTATAGTTTCTTGGCTGCTGAGAAAAGTTCAAGATCTCTGCTAACTGGGAAGTGCCAGCAACCTTAGCGACTTGCCCATACTGGGTCACGACACTTTTCCTCACCATTGCCTCTTTTTCTTTCCTCTCGGTCATCTTTGGTCTTTATTGCCTGATCATCTCTGTGTGTTTGGAGGTAAGGATTTTTAAAAATAATACCTTTATAAGTAAGTGGCTTGGTAATCAAACTGTCATTCAAGAATGCCAAATCTGTCTTTGCAGTTTACAGTTTTCTCATAATTAGATACCAATATGTAGGAGCTAAACATTAGACCACGAAAAATAATGGCTGCGAAGGGTTCTCTATGAGCACAACTCCTATGGTCTTTGCTTTTCCTGTGCCTAAGGCTACAGTGTGACGGAATGATTAAATTAACAGCTGGTGAAGACAAAGGATTTGTTAAAGGTTAAGTCGTGGTGATGAAATGGGACAGGATTTTTACCACAGTTATTTCTTGGATGAGAGTCAGCCTACTGAGAAAAGAAATACTTCACCTTTCTGCGGAGTATTAGACATCTATCTGATAGCTATAAATGGTTTGCAGCAATACTCTCTGTACTGTCCTGAAACAATATTTACTTCCATGTGATCAGAGGAACGTTGGAGAATTTGTGTCTAATAGCAGTTATCAATTGCAAATAGTTTTTGCAGATAAGTAACGTAAATAGGAATGCACAGTAAAACATAATGTACTTAAACAGTCTTATTTGGGTAAATGTAATTAAATCTTATACTGTGGAGAAAGACAGAGTTCACAACAAGAACAAACAGATAAATTATATATCATCTTATATTAGATATAAAATATTATTGAACAATACCTAAACACTTGACAGTGCCAAGAGCAAAGGCAGAAGCGGCTCGTGGTTTGTTAGTTACAAGAGCAAGTTCTCCAAAATACTGTCCTCTCGAGCATCGAGCTATTTCAACTGCTCCATTCTCTTCTACATCTTGTTTACCCTGAAATATTAGGTAAAAAAAGAAAGAGAAAGGAAGAGACAGAATGAGAGAGAGATTTGCTGAACTCGGGATTGTATAAACAAAATTAGTAACACTGGTAGCACTACTATTTAACGCTTAGAATATATTAAGATTTAAAAAAAAAATAAAGTTCTGTGTTTTAGGTATGTTTACCTTCCTTGTCATTATAATCCTTACTTCTCCAGATTCCACAATGAAGAAAGAATCAGCCAAGTCACCCTGTTGAAGAAAAAAAACAGAGAGAGTAAAGGAAATGTGAAATTTCCTTTTCAGTTTCATGGTAACATTAAAATATTTGCAGCTAGTGCCTTGAAGCTCATCTTTTTGATACCTGTTGCAAAAGAAATCATTTCTAATGTGAAAACCATACTCCAGGAACATAATAATCAAATCAGGTATACAGAACTGACAGCAAGGACTTTTAATGAAAAGACATAGCTGATGGTGCCTTATACAAAATGCAGAGAAAATCCATGCTACAGAAGATTTTACTCCTGTTTCTCCACCTTTATATTCTTTCCAAATCATTTCCCTTACAGAGTTTCCAGTATAAAAAGTCTCCAAGGGCTGCCCGATATCCAATAATTATTTTGGGGTGAGACAAATTTCAGTTGCCTACCCTGAAGAGTTTACTTCTGCATTCTTCTTCAAAAGATTATCATATTGTAACAACAGAAACAAGGGAAGTCTTCAGCGCTCCTAATTGCAAGCAACCATTCTTTTATATAGTTTGAATTTCTAAGTATACTAAAAACACTGACTCCTTTTTTCACACTAACAAAGAGGGATGTTTTTCAAAGTACCTTAAGTGAAATACTAGCTTCTGAAACAAAATAATCTCTTAGATACAAGATTGTTTTTGGTTTGTTTGACAAAGAAAAACATAGTTTAAAAGTACGTATTGTCTATAGATAAAGTGATAATTGTTAGCTATTGGAAAAGAAAGACTAAAACTAGAAATAAACTGTACCTGAGCAATGATTTGTTCTCCGTCTTTGTACACTTTGGTGCCAATCACATCAACCACTTTTAAACGCTCAGATACCTTCATTTAAGAAAACAAAACACAACAAATATCAACATTATGACATTATATTTAGAAAGCCCTTTCATGTTTCTTTTCATGAATCTTTGCACAGAATAGTGTGTATTTATTTTCCTGTTTTGATAATCATTAAAAAAAGGAAGAACTGGCGAATAATGTTTCAGAGGGTGCATTATAGTCTTAACAGCTCAATATTTTGACACAGCTTCCATTTTTGTAAATCTATATATCTCCACTCTTCAAAAATTATTTTAAGAAAAGCATGCATGTAAAAAATATAGCTGTTAAATGAAAATATGTTGACATTCCCAAAGTTATTGTTTAATTATATTGGCTAATATATAGTAAAATTAAGCTTAAGAAAATGAAAGTAAAGGTAAAAAAAAATACAGCTTTCTTAAAAAATACAACATTAAGAATAGTTCTTTATCATGAAAATTTAGAAATATCAAAGATATGGTCTTTCTCCAAAACAAAACTATGCAAAATTTTATTACAGAGAAAATTTTCATTCCAAATTTAAACTCTGTAAAAGCAGAATCTTATCAGCTACCTCTGACACAGCCATGAAAATAACGCAATAAAAATCTTACTTCTAAAGATTTAAGGAATGGCAATGACTCAATAAAATTTTCATACATTCTTCTCTTTTTGGCATTGTTTTTTACAATGATCCTTCGGAACGTTACCCTGTCCTGTAAATGCAAAGACAGAAAGAGAGTTTATTAACAGGAAATATGTGTGTGGGAGAAAATACTTTAGAAAACGGCTGAATATGTTCAAACGACCCTATTTTAGTCACTCAATGTAGCCATCAAACTAGCTAGCTCGTCTCCTCATACAGTCAGTTGAGAAAGATTCCTCTAGAGGTCAACCAAGAGCTCCTAAAGTGAAGTGCCTGATTGATTCACGTTGTGAAAAGCTGCTCTGCCCTTCAGCAGAGAATACATACAGAGCTTCCGTACAGAGCGGAGAGAATTTACCTTAAACAGATTGGGTACACAATGGATGCCAAGTGGGTAATTTAAGATATTTAAGAAATCATCAATATCTAAATATTTAATTTACAAAGTTTGTTTGTTATCTTGAGGTCACATACATATTGATATGTATGCAAAGAGATTTTTATATTATTACACAAACAAACCAAAAACACACGGGTCTGGGACTTCAGTCACAGTCCACTTTCTACTATTTCAGCAGAACAAGACTCATTGTCACCCTAACCAGCCAACTGAACACTCCTCGGTGTCTGGCAATTCAAGTGAAGCAGACAGATGGCAAAACTACATGTATGCTGTTTTCTTCACTTCATATGACTGTGTCCTGGTGACAGAGAGGTGTGAAATGCTTTGCAAGCCCTCCCTGCTACAGGTGGGACTTGCTGGCCAATACAACCCAATCGTAGCCATTCCCATCGTGCCCTAAACTCTGCCATTGTCCCCAAAGTCATATGGATTAAGTTGGTGAAAAATCATGCGTTTTGCTTCAACAGGAGAACGTTATCTTGGGATCAGTCATTAGATTGACATATACCTCTTCAGGAAGATGGCTACCCCAGCCTTTTGGTAAATAGTATTATTGTTGTCAAAGATCCAGACAGTAAAACACTGATAAACAGCCTCATATTTGAATTTTACTCTGGAACCAAAAGCGTTTCCTATCAAGGTGTGGCAAAACATTGTATGTATGTGTCAAAGTAATCATCAAGTGATTTGCAATTTAGGAAATGATCATTAACATAGAATAAAACAAAATTATTTAAAGAAAAAAAAAATCAGTATTTTGTTGAGCCTCAGGTTTGCTTTTGTCGATTCTGGAGAAAGAGAGTATCGTGTCAACTGTTCTCAGAAGTTTTAAAACCAAATTTTCCAAAATTGTAATTCATTTTTTTGATGCTGATACAGTATATCGGTGCAATTCGTATAAAATATTTTAAACAAATGAATAATATATTAAAACAAGTATTTTACTTACCAAACCCCAGATGGCACCAGGAGAGGTAGCTATAATTGTAGCTGCTCTGGGTGTATTGTACATTAAGGCCAACTCACCAAAACTTCCTCGGTTATCATAGGTTCCAACACACCTCCCAACACCATCGCATTTTACATAAATATCATATGTACCTCTGTTAATAAAATATATAAATACAGTGAGTAGAATCTAGTCCCATTTTTCGCTAAACAGCCTTTCACTATATTTTTTTATACTATGAATTCCAAACATAGAGCATTTGAAATACATATTCTGCTTGTTTAAATGATATTAAATGTCTTGCAAAGCCATCTCCATCACTTTCATAAATAATAAAATTTACTTGTTAAAGGGAAGGATAGGGTTATTAATTTTGACACTAAGTCAGTTTAAAGATAGACTGGATTCACAGTGATCTATTGATCACCACAACTGTATTAAAAATTAAGATCTAACTTAGTGTTTGTTTCTTAGTCTCATTTTAAACATGCTGAATACAAATGTGAAGTCTTTGCAAAAATTGCTGTTATAATCACTGAAAATTAATACTGTTTAACATTTAAACTAACATTAACATTAAAATTAAAGCTGTTTAACATTTAAAATATTTTAAAGTAGTAACTTATAATGCAATAGAGGAGATGCATGAAACAGAACGAATGTATATGAATAGCAACATAAGATTATGAAATAAAGATATGTATTTATCTAATACAATGCCCATTTCTTCTCCCTATCATTTTTTGTTTTGCTTTGGGAAAGTCATGAAATCTGTTATCTTGTAAAACATGACACAGCCATCCCCACTGATGCTGAGCCATCATTTTATTTAACGCTAAATATTTGTATGGTATATGTTGACAAGTCATGTGAATGCAAGACTTGAGCTCTAATAATATTCATGTGAACCAGAAAGTCTACAGATAGTATTAAAATGCAGTGAAATTTCAAATATTGAGCTGTAAAACTTTTCCCATCGTGTTTTGTGTTACATCTCTTTCCATGTAAAAAACCCCAGCCTTTGGGATCTAGCAATACATAAAGAGGACAGCGACATATTTCCGTCTGAAAAATCTGCCTCCTTCAAAAACTGCTCTGTAGCTCAGACACAGCTATACTGGTTCACATGTGCTCTTTTTTTCTTTCTTTCATGCAAAAATATAAGAATCAAATATAAGTATGTAAAGAAATATTTCTCAATGGACTTTTGCATAATATTTTGCGCTACAGTAAGATGCAGCGATTCACCTATCAATGACGTAGAAGTTGTCACCATCATCCCCTTGATCAATCACATGTTCCCCTCCTTCAACCAGCTTTTCAAACATCGCATCCAACACCTGAGACATCTGTTCCTATTTAAAATGAACACAGACAGACAAGAAATTATCAGCCATTTTTAAAAATTTTGCTCTTCAAATTAACTGTTCAGCCTCCAAAATATGCAGCTAAAGAAAATTCCTGCTATAGAAATGTGTGGGTTAATCAAAAAGACAGTTTTATTTAGTATTCAGTGTTAGCTTTCTCCTCTTCCAGTATTCAGAGCCCAGCTTCCCTTCCTGTCTCTGCCAATGGTAACATAGATCCTGTCTGCAATATAAATTGCTCACAAGCATCCAAAGATACAATTTCACCCTTAACAACTGTGAAATATTATACAGTTAAAATAAAAAAACCGGCATCCCTTGTTGCAAGCAATACACTTACTTGGTTTTGTCTTATTTGTCTATCTTACAGAATTTAAAGTTTCAAAATGATTGTACAGTATTTTAAAAATCTAAAATTATACGATGCCTGCACAATGTTGGGCTGGATATAACTGGAAAGGTCTGCAATGCTTTGGTTGAGTAAGTAAATGCTGGGCTCATTGGGAAGAATTTACACATGGCTATAAAACTACTTTATTAATTTGAATGGAATACAATCGGTTAACAGAAATGTTAACAGACTAACATAATGTCAGCACCTGAACTATGACTGTCTAACAGCAAAACCAAATCACTAAATATAATTTGTCTTGTTTGGCCTAAATCTGCTAAAACTTAACAATACGCATCTAAAAAAAAAAGCACACACAGCTCATTGTGGATTAACGATATGAATCCTAAAAAGATAAATCAATTCATTTTTTCAGTTTATCCAGCAGTATGCCTAAAATTCTGACAAGAAACACAAGATTATCCTCTGCTTTTTGAAACTTATTAAGTACCTGTCATACTGGAACAAGCAAGTTCTAGTGACAACCGCAGTGAAGAAAAGCCTGTAGATTCAGATCCCCACGCATTTTACAGTGGTTCCATTCATAGCATTTCCAGCCACTGAAAGATGGCATTTGCCTTTCCAAACAAGACCAGCCTAAGCCAGCCCTAGATTTCTCCTGCAGCCCATGGACAGAGATAACCACACTAGGTAACTCAGAATCGTTCTCTAGAGTTCCCTCTTTCTTTCCTCTGATGATAGAGAGATCTACTATAACTCACAGACACTTAATTTTTAGACAAAATTAGTTGGAATTAATTCCATCCTTACTCTGTTGAATTTCTTCACTTACTCAAAGGTTTTAAAAAAATCAGCAGTACCATGTTATCCAAGCCTTTTTAAAAAATGGAAGCTTAATACAATTTTACTTCAGAGTTCATTTTGTGTGGGCACAAAGACCAAGAGAATAGCAGCACTCACCCTCAGTGCAGCTGGTCATGGTAAAATCCAGTAAGACGTCACGCAGCCTACCTAGGCCAGCAAGGAATCATTTAACTATGTCTCTCTTCAGTACCTTTTTTTGGTATAAACAGGTAATGTGTTTTCAAAAAGAAGGATCATTTTACTATCAGTGAAGGGGTTATAATTCAATTCAGAGAAAGAGAAAAGTGTGTGTGGGTGCCATTGGAAGAGACTGAAAATTAGGTACAGGAGTTGCCTTTTAAAAAATTTCATGCTTAAATTAATAGGTAATATTACTTCAGTCTTTTCAGTTCCTTTATGTAAACTAAAAGGAAGTCCTACAGAATTTGCAAAACTCACCTAATGTCTGTTAGCTGTCTAAAGCGTTTGAGGCAGCACCTTGCCTTCCCCTTACGTCACATCTGACTTGGTGAAGTGGCTCCCCAACCAACAGCCCTTGGCTGCCACCTGAAAACAAGCCACAACATGCAGAATGCTCCACACTTAATGGGACGGTGGAGGGTATATGTTCTCCTCTAAATGCAAGAAAAATGTTATATGGGCCCTGATCCTCATAAATTAAAATACTCCCAAGACATCTTGGAAAAACGATTAAACTAAAAAGACTAAAACTAAAAAGAGTTGTGGTACTGAAGGAATAATACAAATAGTTATGATCTTTACTCAGTGTGCCTCATCTCAGATGTCACATTAAAACATTTTCAATCTCATATTTATGAATCAAGCTCACCAAAACACAACTGTTCTGGTACGTAAATTTATGACTTTTTTAGACAATGGAGTAGAATTCACAGATACAATCCCCTTTTAAAAAATGTCTTAAACACTTGAAGGTATTTAATACATCTGAGAGCTGGCGATTATTTGCTGAAGTATTGCACAGGTATTTCAACATTCTAAATAAATTGCAACTAACTTAAAGACAACTAGTCCCTTTCCCAAAGTTTTCTACCTAAAATTAAGATAGAGCAGACTGCAGTAACCAAACCAGACACGTGTTTTTTGCTGTTACCGTCAGAATTACAAAACTTGCTTCCCCAGCTTGCTCCGTGTGAGTCCTCTTGATTCTCTGCCAGACTGAGGCTCCATTTACTGGCAGCCTCCATAGTTACTTTGAAAGAATAAAGATGGGTAATTTTAGAATTAAAAAGCAAATCCATTATCATACACTGAATTAATTCTGGTATTTTGTAAAATGGTGCAGTCTGAAAGCTCTTCTTCCTTAAAGCAGTTCTAGCTTTAAAAATACATACAAAATGAAAACAGGAAGAGGTTATTTGTATCAGTGTTTGTAAATCTGCTATGTGTAATGCTGTGGCAATCTGGTAATTAATATTCTAACGAATGACACTTTAAAAACATGATAAGCTTTTTAAAAGAAATAAAATTTAAAAGATTCTGTAGTATTAAACATGTATGTTGGGCAATCTTTGTGACCTGCTAAAATTTCATGATCTTAATACATTTTTTTCAAATATAATAAAGCATGTATTTTTCTTCAGGATAATGCACTCTACAAATACAAAGAACTAAAACTAAAGTGTAAATAATTTGAAATTTGATTGTTTATATAACCTTTATTTACATACTCTGATTAATATATTCAATGGATTTTTTTTTCATTCTAAACTGTGAAGCATGTAAATGCTTCAAAAAAGGAACATTTTTGAGAAAATTATGGGAACCTTGGGTTGTTGCAATGAAAGCACACTTTGATCACCACCCTTTGTGATAGAGAAAATATTTAAACTTCCTTAAAAGTAAGAAGGCTGAATGGGAAGTCAGATTTTCTGAAATACACATTCACAATACAAACCAATTGCATGTGTCAAGGTTTTATAACGGTATTTTCTTTGAAGTGTAGTTACTGTGTTTCTCTCAAAAAAATCTTTCTAACAACTGAACTTCAATGACAGAGCCTGATTTCACAAAATAATTTACTAGACAAGTGAATAAACATGCCATAGTTACAACCGTCATTACTGTTTCAGTCGCCCTTGCTTTCAAGTGTGGATTTGACTGCTGGGAAGCAGGAGCGCAAAGGAGCATTAGCTCCCTGATCAGCATCAGCCGGCATGATACATCCTCTCACATCACCTGAAGTGGGGATGATGTGGTTTCCTTCCCTCTCTTACTTAGGCCGAGATGGTACCTACCCTAGTTTTATACCAACTTAAATGAACTATGCTAGCAAAGTTCTTTTGCATATTTAGATCAGTCAGAATCAGAGACTACAGCTAGGAAGTACAAACTCACCAGGACCAGGGGAGGGACGCACACACTGACATGGTATAGTCTGGGCTGGTTTGCTCTTGGTGCCATCACCAGCACAGTTGGTACAGTTTTGGCTTGTGCCAGTTATCACCCCTCCTGACAAACCCTGGTCATGGTTTGGAGGAATGCTTGAGCCAGGGCTTCTTCCCAGTAAGGGTAAAACCACCCTGGTTAGTTGCTTGGTTTGGTGGGGTTAGGAGGAGAGGAAGGTGCCAGAGAGCTTAGCTGTATGTATGTATGTCATACTGCACTGCATGGCCTCAGGGACAGAGAACATCCTCTGATGTAGTTTGTTGTTACCAATTACTGAACTGAATAAAAGTGACAAGAATGGAAAATTTCAAAATAATCTACTGCAGTCAGTTCAACTCCACCTTTGGGGATCCTTCTTAATTTCCTGACAAACAACATTTGTATTTCTAGTCAATTAAATGACATCTTCCCTGTAATTAAAGCCTTCAAAATACTGAACTAAGGAAACATTTAAATATGAAGGGGCATATGACTATGATTGATAACTAGTAAAAAACAGTTAGCAGATATTCTTAGCTCTTTAGTCCCAAAACATGTAAATCAACTCCACATCCTCTCTGGGCAACCTGTTCCAGCATTTGACCACCCTCACAGTAAAAAATGCTTTTCCTGTAGTTAAAAAGATGTTTTTGTATTTCATTTTGTGGGCATTGTGTCTTCTCCCGTCATGGCACCACTGAGAACAGGTCTGGTCAACAGATTGGTGTCTCCATCTGCTGTAGAAAGACACTCCTGTCTCTTTAGCGCACCCTTGAAAGATGCCGTCAAGCTCCTGTTTATGCTGCCTGATGCCACGCAGTCCTTCTCACGTCCTTCTGCAGTTCCTTCAGCTGGCAGCTCAGCACTCTGACCACAGCACATCTCCCACAGGTGAAGCCCCATTGCCCCCCAGACTTCAGGAGAGATGCCTGCCACTCCCAGCAGCCTGAGACCAAGACGGCGACATCCTACCTCTGGATCTGGGTTGAAACTCTACATGTGCCACGGCTGGCTGGTCCAGCTGGTGCTGGAGAGCACTCCCTGTGGCCCATCATCACTGTCATTGCACCAGCTCTAGCAGTCCCACACTGTCTTGTGCACTGTTTCCAATTCCTCTTCAAACTCCCATCTGCACAAATGACTTCAACTGCAAAGTCTCTGTTAGTTTGTCCTCTTCGCTGTGCTCCTGCAAGCTCTGTCTCTTCAATGGCAGTTACACAGATGCACCTCATCAACATTTCACTAGGAGCCTGATGCTCTCTGATAGTCTTGTGCTAAGTATTCTAAACACTACACACTTGTGGCAAAAAGTAGTTGCCCCCTCCTTCCCTTTATCCCATGGTAGCCGCATGAACCTCTAGCATAGAAGCAGAAATTTAATGTCAAA